ATGAGAAGGTAAGAAGAGGAAGGATGCAGAGGTCATGGGGGAGCAGAAAGGTTGAGTCAGGGGAAGAATAGAAGAAAGGATATGTGATAGGTAGGGTTTTAGTTGCGGGGGTTGGGGGGTGGTATGGGAGGAATCCCAGCACTCAGGAGGCAGGGGCAGGCGGGTCCCTGGGGGTTCGAGGCCAGTTCGGCCACATAGTGAGTTCCGGGACAGCCAGAGTTCCATAGTAGACTCTATCTCAAAACAAGCAAGCAAGCAAGCAAGCAAGCAAGCAAGCAAGGAGGAAAAGCAATTGAGGAAGCCACCCAATGTCAACCTCCAGCTACATAAACATGTACTTGGGGAAAATTTACCTCCATGACTGTGTCTTTGTGCAGTTGCCACCTCCGGAGGATCCCCCCACCCCCCACCCCAAATTGAACACACGTACAAAAATAGACTTCCCGGGTGTCAAACGCGGCGCCTCATGCCTTGGGAGGCGGTGACAGGCAGATCTTTGTGAGTTCCAGGCTAATTTAGTCTACATAGTGCATTCCAGTCAAGTAGGGGTTACATAGTGAGACCTTGTCTTAAAAGGGTGGGGCTGGTGGTGGTTTGGAGAGATTCCTTAAGTGATTAAGCTTCCAGAGGACCCAAATGAAATTCCCAGCACCCACTGCTTGTAACTCCAGCTCCAGGGGATTTGATGATCTCTTCTGGCCTCCACAGGTACCTGCACTCATGTACACACACACACACACACACACACACACACACACACACACACACACACACACACAACTAGATCCTTAAAATATAATCTTTTTTTAAAAAAAAGACCTTTGCCGGGCGTTGGTGGCACACGCCTTTAATCCCAGCACTCGGGAGGCAGAGGCAGGCCAATCTCTGTGAGTTTGAGGCCAGCCTGGTCTCCAGAGCGAGTGCCAGGATAGGCTCCAAAGCTACACAGAGAAACCCTGTCTCGAAAAAACCAAAAAAAAAAAAAAAAGACTTTCTAATAAAAAGCTCGCTTTCAAAATACTAAAACCCATCAGATTTTATTGTGATAATTAATAATCAGTCTATTATAGATGAACAATGAGAATTTGGGGGGTGCTCTTATATAATAGCCCAGGCTGTCCTCAAACATATTATGTAGCAGAGGATGACCTTGATCTTCTGATCCTCCTGCCTCCAGTTGGGGAATGCAGAGATTATACTGCTGCTTGAACCCAGGGCCTCACACATACTAAGTAAGCATTTACCAATTGAGCTACGTCCATAACCCCCATGAAGACTTTAAAAATTGCATGTTTGGAACAGCCAATACTGTACATGTACATGTCTCAAAAAGCAGAGGTGTGGCTGGGTGTGGTGGTACACACCTTTGACTCCAGCACTCAGAAGGCAGAGGCAGGGGGACCTCTGTAAGTTCAAGCCTAGCCTGGTCTATAGTGAGTTCCAGAACAGCCAGTGCTAGGTTGAGAGACCCTGCCTCAAAAAAAAAATCAAAAGTATATCACAATAATATAGGAAAAATATGTCAAGGAAGAAACAATGTCATATATTCTTTCCTCCTTCCTAGCCAGTGTTCCTTCCCCTCCTAGCAATGAGTTCCTAATCTATCTTCAGAATTTTGAAGTGACAGCTGTGATGTTCACTTAATCTCTTGTGTTTCGTGTGTGTGTGTGTGTGTGTGTGTGTGTGTGTGTGTGTGGGGGGGGGGTGTGTTGTGTCTGTGTGTCTGTGTGTGTGTGTTCGTGTGTGTATGTGTGTCCCTGCACCATATGCATGCCTACTGCCCTTGGAGGCCAGAGTTGAACATCAGGTCCCTTGGAACTGGAGTTAACGATGGTTGTGAGCTGCCATGTAGGTGCTGGGAATCAAACCTGGGTCCTCTGGAGAGCAGACAGTGCTCTTAACCACTGAGCCGTCTCTCAGGCCGGTCACTCACTCTCATATAGCAGTTCAACGGCAGATTTACTTCAATCGTCAATGCTGAGAAAATCTTGACAAAGGTTAGTAGTAAACAGTGATGTGTCTGTGGGGAGAGTTGCTGGGGACCAAACCCATGGTCTTATTCACTTCACCATTTGGTCTTATCCCTGCTAGCTTAATCTGCTAGCTTTGTACCACCAAGTTGCTCTTTGGATAGCAGTGACTGAAGCCTATTTCTGTGGCCTTCTCAAAACAACCTAATACAGTGAGACAAGTCAATGTTTAGCATTGCAATGATTGGTGACATACTTGAGTGTATGTGTGATTCTTTAATAATTTAGTATCCCGAAGCCATGCTTGCTAAAACCAAACTCCTTGGAAGGGCCAGTGACTCAAATCAAAAGACTGACCAAACAGGCATGCATAAGAGTAAGCAAGGGGCTGGAGAGATGGCTCAGAGGTTAAGAGCACTGCTCTTCCAGAGGTCCTGAGTTCAATTCCCAGTAACCACGTGGTTGCTCACAGCTACCTTGAGTGAGATCTGGTGCCCTCTGCTGGCGTGCATGCAGAAGACTGTATACATAACAAATAAATAAAATCTTTTTTTTTTTTTTTTTAAAGAGATAAACAAGATTGAGCCTTCGGGGTACAATTCTACAGAGGTACCCCAACATAAAGACACTTGTGTGTTCTCAACAGGTAATACAAAAAAGTGAACTGAAGAACCAGCCTGCCTCCATTTTAGGATTGGAAGCCATCTTACAGTAAAGACAAACTAGGTTCATTCCTGTTTGTGGTTAAACCTCTGTTTCTCAAGGATTGGGCTATCCCACCTCTAACCTTAACTACAAATGGTTCTGAACTGCCTGTTCCAGGAATGGCGAACATGCCTTTGTGTCGAAAAGTTGTTTATAACCAACTTGCATCCCTACCTTTGTTTCAAAAGATTATATGACCACTTATGACTACCTTGCTATGTCCACCTTGCAGCCATGTCTTTACTTTGGAGGAACTAACTTGCTATGCTTATGTTCTGCTCCTGTAACTCCACCTATTTTTGCCCACCAATCCTCCATTTGAAGACCCCCTACCCCTGAGCTATAAAAGCCGAGTCTTCCTCACATCCATGGCTGTCCTCTTGAACCCTGCCTTAGGGAGAGACAGCCTGTGTACATGAATAAAAAACTTGTTTAATTAATTGTTTGCTTTAATTAATTTGGCCGTGATGGTTTGGGTCAGTGATCTTTCTCCTCCCATCTTTCAGATGAACAGAAGTAAGCTCTGTTAAGACAATGCTAGCTCAAGGGCCAGTTACCTGGTTCAGTAATAGAGCCCTTGGGTAACATGCACGAGGCCCCCAACTTAAGTCCCTAGTACTTCGGAGAAAATCAGAGCCTGGATGATAGGAGTACAGCTCTGTGGCAAAGTGCTTGCTTAGCATGCTCAAGGTCCTACAAAGGATAAAGTGGGAGGGACGAGAATACTATGTTAGGGAGTAGAGACACCCATGATAAATGAAGGCTGCATGGCCCAATGCTGATGAGCAGTTTCTATGGAGCTTCTAGCGAGGCCGTGCAAGAATGAGGCTTATATTGTGAAGCTGATGCTTTCTCCAAGAAAAGCCAGAAATGAGAATTTCATGTGCTATCATAACATTTTTAAGTTATTTAGTTTTAATCAGTGTTAGATCCAAAAGAAACTCGGGACAAATGGCTAACTGTGGTGCCTATTAGCATAGCAAGGTGAATACTGGCTTCCAGGCTGATTTCTACCTCTGTATATGTGTGGCTCTTCTTAGCTCCTTTCATCCGGGCTCCTGCCCTAAACTGCTCCAGCTCATGGGCTTCCTTTCCTCCAGCTTCTCCTTTCTGTATAACTCTGCCTTTTTGGCCATTCGCTCTCTTGACCCCCTCTCTTGCCTCTTTCTCTGGGTCCTCTCTTTCTCTTCTCTCTAACTCCTCCCACCCCCGATGGCCATCTTCAGTCTACTACTTTCTCTCTTTGCTCCTGACTCTTCCAGATGCCTCTGACTGTACTCTCCCTCATATCCCTTCAACCATACCTTGGTGCAGCCATGTTCTTACTTTATATAATTAGTTATTTGTTTTTGCAGTGTTGGAAGGGAACCCATGGTTCCTTACACAGTAAATGAGCACAATGTTGACAACTAATTGTACATCCTAGCCCCAGCTCCTGAGTTTCATATGTTAACAACTAATTCTTTTCAGAGCTTAGGGTGTAGCTCAGTGGTAAGAGCACTAGCTTGGCATAGGTGAGGCTCTGGGTTTCAATCCCAACACAGACAGACAGACAGACACACACACACACACACACACACACACACACACACACACATACAGAGTTTGAAAACAGCAGGGTGGCTAGTTGGGTGGCTAGTTTGCTCTCTGTGGGAGAAGCATTGCCACAATTAGAGCTTTACTCTATGGCTTTAGAACTATCTTGCCCTTTCCAGGATTTAAATGAGCTCTACTTTTGAGGACATAGTGAAAGGACAGAAATAATTCCTACAGGTTGCACTCTTTTTTTTTTTTTTTTTTTTTTTTTTTTTTTTTTTTTTTTTTTTTTTTTTATTTTTTGTATACACTCTTCTGCCTGCATGCCAGCAGAGGGCACCAGATCTCACTCAAGGTGGTTGTGAGCCACCATGTGGTTGTCGGGAATTGAACTCAGGACCTCTGGAAGAA